AACATTCTGGTTTTTAACCAAACTAAGTTTTCAAAACAATTTATACTAATGACTTCATACTTGGTTTCGTTTAGCTTCTCTGAAACCAGAATCGCAGTTTTAAGCTCTGACTAGTTCTGATGAAGCCACCTGATTTAAAGAACGAAGCTAAATTTCCCTCCAGGTGATTAAATATTTGCAGTCGGGAAGCAGCTCTTCTAAATCCCTTAAACAATCCGGCAGGTAAACATGAATTAATTAAGCACCGCTAAGTTTGCTTTTCCAATTAAAGTTCTGCCCACAAACATTCAGACACTCCCGACATGCATAAAAAAAAGAAGGTAAATTAAATTACACCGGAGCGTCTCTGCTGGGATTGAAATTCAGAGAGGAAGCTTCGGTTGGATAATAAAAACAGCAATCTCATGTACTAATAAATAAAAAAAGAAAAACCCACCAACACGGTGCTTCTAGGAAGATTGAGGTGAAAGAGAGATTTAGCCAATTACCTGCCAGGCGTCAGAGTGGAAATGGGGTCGAAACGTTGCTGAACACCACAAAGTTCTGGGTTTGATTCATGGACTCGGTCGGTGGCAGCGACTCCAGAAACAGGTGGGCGACTCGTTTGGTTTGGAAAGCAGTCAGAGCGGGAATTTCTCATTCAGCGGGATAAAGAAAGTCACGTTTAAAGCGCCTGTAATTACAAAAGCAGCGCCGTCGCCGCATCTAAAGGGATTGACTGGATCTCCTGCAGCCGGTTGCTGCTTGTTTCTGAATGTAAGGAGACAGCTGCCGTCTGTACACAACACTTTCATTCACTGACGTGACAAAACGTTGGCCGTCGGGGGAAAGTGGAGGCTGTTTCACTAAATCCAAGCTTGTGTTAGAGTTTTGGTGACGGCAGAGGCGGTTCCAGAGACGATCCGGTAACATGGCTGATCAGAACAAGTTGGTTAAATCATCTGTGTTTTCGGGAAGGAGGGTTTTAATTTCCATTTCAGTCTCAGCTTCAGTTTGATCCTCAACCGGATGTTACTACTGGTGGAAAATACGAAAACAGGAAGTGTTTTTTTAATGATTTATTAACCTGGGATTTTAATTTTCTTCTCCAAATGGAAACACCGCAATTGCAAAAATGCTTTTTCTTTCAACATTAGCAAAGTTTTGCAACATTTGTAATCGAAACGCAGCTAGTTTCATGACTGTCAAGACATGCCAACAGCTCAGTTTCCTGGATGATTAACAGCTCTGCTAATCCAACTCATTTGCTCTTGCTGCTCCTCGTTAAATTGTCAAATGGTTAGAAAGATGCTGGCGTAGGGGATCTGAATGACTGCTGGTAGAACTCTGTTACAACTCCTTTGGAATCATGGGAACAGATCAGATATTTGAGCTTTTGAGATCCTGATCTGCTCAAAAACAAATATCCTTCCAGGCTCCCAAAGGGAATAATTTTGATGCTAATGGCGCCTCAACAAATGGATGTTCCCTCCAATGTTCAAGCTTCAGTTTTAAGATAAATTTTATTTTCATTTGTGAATTAAAAAAAAAAGAAAGAAAGAAACCAGATAGAAAAAAGTAGTAAACATCCATACAGACACACAAATGAATAAAAAGGAAAAGGAAAATCCCTAAACATTTAAAAACAAAAGATTTAAATTGAAAAGAAAGAAAAAAGGATCACAAATATTTTTGGCACCACGTGGATTGTCAACATTAAACAAGCAAGAAAAAGAATCACCAAAAAAGTGGAAAAATTAAAATAATTCAGAATCGAGTCACTCGGATTCATACAGAGAAATAAAAATCATATCCAGCAACTCAAGTGCTTGTTTTCCTCAGACACTTCGCTGCAGGTGAAGCTCACCTGTGGAGCCCCCAGCAGCGCCCCCTAGGTGTCACCGACGCATCGACAGGTGAGCAGAAACCAGCTCCAGTCACAGCACATTACCTTTCAATTAAACAGCAGTTCATGAAAAAACCGCATCACTGAACTTCCGCAAAACGGAGGGAGAGTTTTAATCACCTGCTGAGAAAATACCAGCAGCCAGAGACAATTTCAGGAAAAAAGATTCACATTAGTGTTCATCAGGAACAAAGAAATCCGTCAAGATTAGCAGCAGTTTGTGACCAAATTCATCAACTAAAAGTAATTAAAAGGTTTGTAAACTGTGCTGGTTGTTATCCGACTGGAGCTGGCATCTTTATTTCCTTTTAACAAATAAAGTGCCTCCTGAAACAATTTGTTATATTGTTGCTGCATTTATTTAACATTTTTGAAGAAAAAAGGACAGAATAAAACCAGAAATCTTTCCTCTGTTCCATTTCTGCCCATAGTTGGGCTTTAAGCCACTTTCACCACATCGTACTCGGGCGTTTTCTCCCAAATCTACCAGATATTCTGTGTTTTTAAAGAAAACTGCAGTTTTTTTATTCATCTGTTTTTATACACAAGTTATAAACAGGATTCCTGCACATTTTTACGTCCGTTTCAGACTCAACTATGCAGCTTTTACAGCCTATAAAATAAGAGATTTATTAATGCTCTTTACTTTTTCCACATTAATCCAAATAATTCCAGACTTTGTAGGAATCCCGCTTTAAAATCTCAGCAAATTAAGTTTAGTCTCAGCAAGCAGCAGCTAAACTAGAGTTTGATGCCTTACAGTATTTTGCAGGAAAAGTAAATGTGTTCTAAAATATTGTTTTATATGAAGTTTAAGGTGCTAGATTTTAAACCGAGTCTGAATAGAAATTCGTCTCATTTTTCTTTGAAATTACAAAAACATAATTTTGTTTTTCTTGGTCCATATTTTGGGATTCAGTTCAGGAAAGTCAGCAGAATTTTTTCTTACAGATATGAGAATCAAATCAAATCCGTTTTATTATTAATGTTCATTAACGTTTTTATCTTCACTTTTCATCCATTTATCACATACTGTTTTTTTTCTTTAATTATGTAAAGCACCTTGCTGCTGAAATGTGCTATACAAATAAAATTTGATTGATTATTAAGACTGATTTTTTTCGACTCTGATGGAGAATCTTCATTGTTTTAATTGATAAAACTCACAGATTGAAGCTTTTGATCTGCTAAAGTCGGACGTTTCAGACTGATGAGCTGAAAACGTCCAGCAGAAAACACTGTGGACCGGATTAGGGACCGGATCAGGGACCGGATCGGAGCAGAAACCCAGAGGAACTGGAGTGTAAACCCAATGAAACCAGAGCAGAAACCCAGAGGAAACCAGAGGAACCGGAGCGTATCCGTCAGTTTTTCACATGGAGAACGGAGACGTCGCCTCAGACCCCCTGCTGAGGGACGGCGGTGGGGGAGCGATTGTTTTTCTTCCAGCCTCGTTGCTGCGAAGCGGTTCCTCTCTGCTCCTTTGATGAAGTTTTATTGAGATGCTCGGCAGGAAAGCTCCGGCGGATCCTTCACTGCTTCTTTTAATGACTGGCGTTAAAAGCAAGAGAAACCTTCCTGCAGCGTTTTGTTCCACAGTGAAAACACAGACAGGTTTGTTTGACAGAAGCGTTTCTAGAGGAAACGGGAAATTTATGCAGCAACAAAACTCAAGAGGTAGCAGGTTGAAACTTGATCATTACACTGAAAAAACTCAAAATCTTACCAAGTATTTTCATCTAGTTTAAATATCTTGGTACATTTGAAACTTGCAAATAACTTTTCAGCAATATACAGGGGCTTAATTTAAGTCAATAATTCCTTAATGTTGATAAAGTACTAGTTAGTAGGCATGGATATAGAATTTCATCACTGTTATGTAGTACTATTGTGATGATGAATTACTTATTACTTCTCTTTAGGGTAACTAAAGAGTTATACACACTGCAAAAACAATGTTACCAAGTATTTTTGTCTAATTTCTAGTAAACTTAAAATTAGACAAACTTACAAGTAACTTTTCAGAAAGATTATGAGCTTTAAGTCAATTTATTTATTTCACTTGTAACAAAACATTTTCCCTTTTTACATGTACAAGCAGTAATTTTCCATCAATAAGGAATTGCCGACTTAAAACAAGCTCCTAATTTTGCTTGTAAGTTAGTTTTTTTCTCATTTCAAGTGAAGTGAGATATTTGCACTAGCAACAAAAATACTTGGTAAGATTTTGTGTTTTTGCAGTGTAGCACCATAAACTAAAATGCTGCTCTTTGAAAAACATTCCTATGTGAAATAATCTTCTGGATTATGGATACTTGAAGTGGGATTTATATCACTAAGCTGAGCACAGAGACTTTATTTAATCAGTTTTGAATAATTTCTTTATGTTTTCATGGGAAAATCTGGGGTGTAAAAGTAAAATTTTAGTAAGTTTTTTTTTTTTTTACATCAACTTAAATTTAAGATGACAAATAAAAATTATTACAATGAGATTTTTTGGAGCTTGTAGTTTTTAATCAATATTAAGGAATTGACTTAAAACAAGCTCCTATTTTTTGCTGACAAGTTACTTGTGAATTAGTTTTGATTTATTTAAAGTGAGATAAGATATTTGGACAATAAACTAGAATAAAAATACTTGCTAAAATGTTGAGTTTTTGCAGCGTAAGCACAGATTCCTCCGTTATTCAAATCTGCATAAATCTGGTAAAAAATAATCCGATTCGGGGACGGATCCTCTAAAAGTTGCTGGACGCCAACTCCCTTAAAACGGAGTGAAAAACTCAACCTGTCGGCTGCTTGATGAGGAAAAATATGTTTAATAAAATCCCTTTGATCACCGTGATTCACAAAAAAATTTGGTCCCTTTCGTTAAAACATTGATTGCATTTAAATTAATCAACACTGCAAAAAAAACAAAACAAAAAAACTTGCCAAGTATTTTTCTGTCTAGAGCAAATATATACATTTAAAATAAGACAAAACCAAATTATCCTTATTTAAAAAATTTTTCTGAGCATATTTTTGTGCATGCTTAGTTTTGCCTTATTTCGACTGTACTAAGATATTTGCAGTAGAAACCAGACAGAAATACTTGGCAAGGTTTTGCAGTGCAGTTTGGTTAAAAAAGGCACAGTCCGCCCAGCAGCAGCTAAGGCCTCGACAACCTAGAAAAATGGCCAACAGTCGTAGATTTTTCCAAGTGGTTCTTATTTCTTCGTCTCAGTCAGGATGATGTTGGCGGTGACGAACATGAGGCAGAACGCCGCCCACAACAACACGAACCACACCCAGACGGCATGGCGGAACGGGGAGCGGTGCTTGTTGACGGCGTCTCTGCCCATCACGGGCTCCAGGTGGCGCCTGGAGAAGAACACCAGGAACGCCGGGATGACGTACTGGATCCCAGTCCCCGCGTACGACCCTGTGATCCCCACCAGGGTCTCCAGATTGTGCGTGCAGAAAGCCACCACGATGGGCGGCACCAGGGTGATGAGGGGAAACACGACCCGGTCCACCACCCACGGGTAGGTGCCGCCGTCCCGGTGGAACAGCGTCTTCCAGTTGTTGCGCAGCGTCACGGCGATGATGGGGAAGTTGGTGCTGATGGTGAAGACGGGGAACAAGCCCAGGAAGTAGCGTAGCACCGGGATGTCCAACACGTCGCAGTTGTCAGTGAAGTTCAGGGTGTACATGTCGTGCAGCAGCGAGCTGTCGAAGCAGAAGATGGCGGTGAATGACAGCAGGACGTAGAAGCCCAGGATGAGGACGTAGTCGGCCAGAACCAGGCTGCCGACCCGCTTCTTATCCGAGATGGGCGTCACCAGGGAGGGCAGGGAGTGCTGGCACATGAAGGAGTAGACGCACACGCCGAACAGGTTGGGCACTCCGGAGAGGCTGGCGACCGGAGGGTGGCCCTCGCCCGTTCCTTTACCGATCCGGATCAGAGCCAAGACGATCATCATGGTGAAAGCTGAGAGAGAAAAAAAAAAAAAAAAAAAAGAGAAATTAAAGAATCAAACACCTAAAAGTCCGGTTCACTCACTTTAGCAACCAAAACTCCAACATCTGGTACATTTACATTTTCAGCTGCTGTGGTTCTCCTCCAAACTGCCAAACAACTGAAACCTGTTCCACCCCTCGCCTGTGGGGGCGCTGCATTGAAAACCACAGAACAACTTCCTTCTTCAAATATAAACCAAAATGGAGCAGCGCCAGATTTTAGCGGTTGTAGGATTTCTCTTATCACCATCTACCATAACTCTTTGAAAAAGTAAAAATTAGTTGCATTTAATTTCCCTTTGTGATCAATAAAGTATTTAATTTGAATCAAATTGAACTCAAATCTATAATCTGTTGAACGTGACATCAATGATTAGTCAATATGATAATGGAAAAATAATCCAAAAACATCCTTAAAAATTAACTTTAAATTGTAATGAACATTTAACACTGGAACTGGAAGACATTTTAAATATATAAAATAAATCAAAAACAAAAAAATGTCTGAATTTCAAATGTCAAAAACTTTTCTAAAGATTTCCAGGTTTTCTGGAAAATGTCAGATTCATCACATTAGTTTTTGGTGGAAATTTATTAATGTTTTTCTATCTACAATGGCCCAAATGCACTGCTGCAAAAATCCCTTTCAGGTTTTGGATCTACAATAAATATTAGGAAACTTTATGCGCTTGATTTTAGGGCTTTTTGTCCCGCTACTAGTTTGGAGACCATGCTTTAGAGGTTGAGATTGGGGCTGATTTTTTTGTCGTTTGTCAGATCTGGCAGAAGTCAGATGAGCCTCAGAGTGTCGGCAGCTCCCGCTCTTTGCCTCCGATCGATTTGTGGAAGTTTCTCTGGAAAGCGACAGAAAGCACGGTGGCCGCAGCATGGTGCCCTGTTGGGGACCAATGGTCGTCTTTCCTCCCGTCTGAGCCAGTCCGGGCACGACTGCAGGAGTCTGAGCCAGTCCGGGCGCGACTGCAGGAGTCTGAGCCAGTCCGGGCGCGACTGCAGGAGTCTGAGCCAGTCCGGGCGCGACTGCAGGAGTCTGAGCCAGTCCGGGCACGACTGCAGGAGTCGGAGCCCCGGGTCGGCCAGCAGCCAGCCGGATCCTCGCTGCTCGACACCAGGCGTCCTCTAAACGCACGGTGACATTTAGGAGAGCGGCGCGTTGCAGAGCGTATCTGAATCACACCTTCACTGTGACTGAACGCTGGAGCCTGAAGATGTTTTCAGTGTAAAATTCAAGCTTTTTTTTTAAACTCATCTCCGCACTGCAAAAACAAAAAATCTTAAAGTATTTTAGTCTAGTACACTTTAAAAAATACTAAACCAATTGTAGATTGTTTTTAAGCAACTAAACAAAGTTGTTCTAAATCATTTGACAAACTTAATTATTTGGAACAAATTACATTTTTTTAAGTTGGTGCTACATTTTCATTGTTCTGTGTTTTCTGCAAGATATAGGAGTTTATTAATATTGTAGTATTCTACAGCAGGGACAAGGTGAATTAATATAACATTTAATGTTCTTAAGTGTCACACACTCCAAAACCGTTTTATTTAACCAAAATAAAAATATAAAAATAAATTAAACCGTTAGGAATAATAAATATTCATTATACTGAAACATTTGCAAGGAATTTTGCAACAGTTGCACTCATGTACAACAGTAAATATGATTATTTTTGTTAGTTGACATCAACTATGGCCAAGGCAGAAGTGGAGTAGAAGGAAGAAATACTGCCACCTGCAGGTGAGCATCGGCAATAACATTTCTGCCCATTCTGTGCATAAAATTAGCAATAAACTGTTGATTTTGCATGAATTCACAAAAAACTGGAGGGATTAACTGATATAATTCGGCAGCAAACAGAAAAAACTGAATTAATAAAATATTTGATCACATAAGATTTTATTTCTGTGACTCTCTGGAGTCTAGAGGGCCACTTAAGAAGCTATGGGGGGCCAGATTTGGCCCTCAAACCTCGAGTTTGGCACACAAAACAGTGCATTGATGTTTAAAAGTACGAAACCAAACAAAAACTTTGAAGGCTCAATATTTTTACCCAATCTGAGGCTGAAGCAGTTTCAGTTTTAAAGATTTGTTTTTAATGAAAAATGATTTGAGAGCTTCAGAAGACGAGTCTCATTTTTCACTTGAAGATAATCCTGAAAAGGATCAGCTCCACTCTTCACCCTTTGCTTCCTACTTTTCCTTGAACTCAGCAGAATCACAGTGTGGGAAACCTGTTGCACGATTGTTCAATATTTAATGCATCTTTGGCCTCCGTCCAATGTAATCTCAGGGTGTGGGGAAAGCTCTGCTACTCCCAATTTAAACGTTAACCCTCGTATTACAGAGAGGTCGGGTGGTGGGCAACAGACCAGCTTTCAAGGACAAAAAGTCTGTTTCATCTGCAGCCATGAAGGGAGAAATGCATATCGAGTCTTTTATTTGAGATACTTTTAATCTTTACTACTCTGCAGTCACCTGCTCTACTCCAGTTTTTAATCTACAAGAGGCTGTGAGTAGGAGGAAGGTGTGGGACAGGAGGAAGGAAGCTGCTCTCCATCTTAACCCTCAGAGGTTTTCACAGGAAGCGTAATCGCATGGAGCTTTAATTAGGAGAGCCTCAGGGCAGCTGGCTGTTATCGCATTACTTAAAGCAGCTTCTCCAGCTTGGACAAGACTAAGAGTCTGAAGTGGAGGCTGTGAGAAAGGTGAGAAAGAACCTGAATCACAGACAGCTCAGGCATTTTGATCCAAGATGGAGGATGATGAATTTATTTCAGTGAACATTTTGTTGGTTAAAGTGATTCATTGTGCTTCTTTGAACATGTTAAGCACCATTTAAAATGTTCATTTTGTGTTACTTGTGTTGTCTTTGATTAAAATGTTAATTGGTTTGATGTTCTGGAACACTAAAATGTGAAAAAAAAAATATCAGGAAAACAGTTTTTCACGCCGCTGTACTTCAGTGTTTGGTTTTTTTGACGATTACTTGCAGCACTTTCTTTTGACAGCCACATATCACATCTAGGTAACTTCAACCATTTAACAAAACCTGATGTATGCGACCTGGACGGGTCCGGCAGCGGCCCTGTGAGCAAAGCTTCGACTCAACGCCCCAGAGGAAACTCCTCCAGCTTATTGTCTCCACCACAAAACCAGAGTCACCAACTGCCTCAAAAGGAAGAGAAAAGATGGAAATCCTGCAGCAAATTCAAGCTTGGAGAGGAAATCCATCACAGGAGCAACAAACTGGAGAAGCTGCAAGTCAAGCCAGAAATCAGGAAGAAAAATCTGCATTTTCAGAAAAACCCCAACATTTTAAACCTTTTAGGATCTGATGTGCTCCGTTTTCACGTTTATACTCTCTTCCCTCCAGTGGTTTTAGAGGACGACAATCATCTCATCATTAATCAGCACCGACTCCCCTTCAGCACTTCCTGGGTTAATCTCGTTGGTGATTAGAGGCTGCAGCTCTTCGCCCAGATCCAGCCAGGACTTCTCCGTTTCTCTCCGCAGCAAAACTTTATCGTATGAAACCGATCAGCTCTGATGCCGATTCTGGTGAGCGACTGGGTGATAAGTGGCTTCGCCGCCTCGCAGCGCGTTCAGCGATCTGCGATAGAGCCATCAGCAAACAGAGCAACGCAGCGCATGTAGGACCATTTATCCTGCCAGGCTCACAAGACGAGCCGGGGGATCCGAGCGCCTCTAGGCAATCTGAAAAAACTGAAGTAAAACTACATGAAAAGATCCAAACGGGTCAAAATGTTCCTGATACACAGCAGCATTCTTCATGGTTAGTAAACTAACCACAGTAGATGGATGGTATGGATGTTTTTTCCTCTCCTGTTATTGGCATATTCGTTTTAATGGGACTGAAATGATTAATTGGATTAAAATAATCGATTAATCGTCAACTAGAGTATACAGACTCCAGAAAAAAGGTAAATTGCTGAATAACTGCAGTCAGAGCGGTTATTAAACCAAATCTTTACAAATATATACACATCAATACCAAGTCATTCATGCATTGGTTTGGTGTGGAGTGCTTCAGAAAGCCAATGTAAAATCTTCACCTGTTTGTGTTCATCCATCAGTGAGGTCTGCACCGTGTGTGCTGCACACGTGATGGATGGCTTATATAAACCATCCATTCTGCCACTGCTATCGGTTTATTCACTCCCAACATGAACTATGGTGTCATCAACTGAAATGAACAAAAAATGGTTTAAAAAACTCATTTTGGGATGAAAATTCAGCTTTAGAGGCAGATCCAGCGTCCCGCCGCAGTCCTGCTTCTGAATCTGTGATTTTAAACAAAGTTTCTCAGCACCTCTGAACTGTGATTCTGCTGCACAGTTCATTAAGACTGGCTCATATTTCACTGTCGCCCTGCGAGCCGCCTGCTGAACTCCCAATTCAACAAGCCACCAGAGTCCCAGATGACCTTCAGAACCAGCGCCGCCTCCCCCACGCTCCTGAAATGCCACCATGCAGACGTCAACGCGTCTGCGGCACTTTCCAGCCTCTTCATGGTATATTAGTAAACCGAGAGCTTTAGTTGGAGGTGTGAAGGTTTTTTTCACTGTAGAGATTTTAGTTTATATTTTGAAGAGGCAGAAAAGGTCCAATTTTAACTACAGTTGAAAAATAATCGGATTAAT